TTTCTTGACTATGAAAAAAGAATTAAAATTTCACCCAAATAATTGTTCATTTTGTATTAAAAGTACCCGGAAGCCTACCCAGTGGTCTGGTGCTCTGAGCAACATGTGAGTTGTGAGACTGGAGCTCTTGTCTCGCAAGAGCAGGGCATTTCAATTGGAGATGTGGTGACAGTCTTCACGCTGGAGACTGGTGGAGTCATGGGAGTTTAGTCAAAGTATCTTGAAGTCTTCATACAACATTTGGGTAATCTTGGGGAGACTAGTTAGTGTAAGGGGACAGATTATTTTCATGAACAATTTATGCACCAAAGGGTTCCTTTCAGTGAGAGTTTTCCTTGCAGCTCCCCTATGAATTCTGCTTCAAGCTGTTGCCCTCCTAATGGAGCGATGTCCAGCACACCCAGCTTGGAAAAGGGATGCGAAGTCCTCTGGCCATTCAATCTCCACATGAGTGGTATGTGCCTGGGACTGGCTGGTGGTGCACGCTTTGTTGCTGGTAAAAATGTGACGTGCACTTGTGGTCCTGGCGGCATGTTGGATTGCAGCAAATCAAACCCTGGACCTTCTCTGTGTGTGCCATGCCGGACAGTGATGTAGAGGCATCTTGACAGACGTGGCTGCACGTCCAGACTCTGCACACAGTCAGTCTCACGGCACTTCTGTCTGCACTGGCCACTGTCTTTTCTCTCTGGTGCCTGAGCAGAAGGTAAGAAATTAGAAAGGGCAGCAACACATTTCTGATGCACTGAGAAGAATCAGATTCCTCTGAGCTTGGTCCCCCTGCCTTCCTCCCACACTCTGTTTCCTCCCAAACTAACCAACCACACCAACAGCCCTGGACTAGAGAGTGAGCAAGGAAGCGGTGGTCTTTGATCTAAGGTGCTGTTGGCATCGCCTGGAGCTAACACCCTGCCCAACTCGCTGTCCAGGGCATGGGAAAGTCCCAATGCTCCAGGGATCCAAATCCAGAAAGTACTTTGCTCGGCCTATTGTGGTGAGGGAGAGGAGGGTAAATGTTTCACTTGGTGTACCAGATTTTTATCCTGCCTCTGAAAGCTATTTTGTTCTTGGCATGAGCTCTTCCAGTGCTTGTGAGAAGCCTTGGGCTGGCTTTTCTGAGTGTGACAGAGTCATGTAACTCTACCACAGATGAGATTCAAGGAGTCTGCTCCATCAGCAGAGCTAAAGCAGCTAAAATGAGACTAAGGCACGTTTTGCCTGGGCATACCTCATACCGTGAGGTTGATGCATCTTGCTTCAGACAGAGGAAGCTTGTGAGAAAAGGTTTAAAAAGATAGGGGTGGAAAAGGAAGAACTGAGGGTTATCCAGCTACTGATTTTTGCTCATCACCCAAGCTGTGCCCATTTTCCTAGATGTATACTTTCTGCAAATATGTAACAGAACATGTAAGTGTTGCTAATTGTTTTCTATTTAAAACACAATTTATGATCAGTTACCTTGAATGAAAGCTGGTTTCATTGGCTGACTTATTTTTGTATTAAATGACTCTGGGAGATATAAGTTGAGAGAAATCAATCTTTAGCCCTTTTATAATTGCTCTAAGTTATTAATGAGTTCTCCGTTACTTGTCTAAACTTGTCACCTGGCTCTACTTCTGAAACCTTCCTTGTGTTGTAGTTTTATGGCATTCAAAATATTATGGTTTTCCTGTGACAAACTGTGCTAGCAGAAGCCTGATAGCAGAAGTATGATACAACAATTTTCTCTTTTTTTGAAGCTTACTTGTTAAATGTGTCCTGTGAAGCAAACTGTGGTGAGAAGCACTTGTGTATTGTTTGGATATTACCTGGGTAGTGAGATCCTGATCACTTGTGGTAATTGCCTTCTTTCGTAACTCTTGCAAGGGGAATAGAGAATTCAGCCTCTTGAACGCAGTTCAGTGTGATCATACTGTTATCTAAATTAGTCTTTCTTAGAGATGGTGACACTGTCCCCTTCCTGTCTGAAATGATATCACTGTATTTGACAAATATATATTAAAAAATACATGAATACATATATGCACACATGAATATATATGTTGAATGTTTACTCATATAATTCTGTTGACAGACATCATATTTCATTAAGAGGGTTAATTCATAGACCAGTATATAATGTAAGGAGTAGTACAGAGCTATGCAATCCTAATTAAAAATTTTATAAATGCAAGCTCTTATTGTTTACCTGAGTATTACAGCCAAAACTGAAGCACAGCTTTTGAGATTGCTATTTGACTGTAGGCCACAGCAGGAAGGTGAGGTTGAGTGGTGCAAAAAAATCAACAGTGATAAATAACAATTAGAAAAGGAAGCATTTCAGAATACGATTTGAGAAAACCTGTTTGAGGAAACAAATGAAACAAATGTCTGGTGGCTATTTACTCTTGGCCCTGCTTTCATGTGCGGTTGTAGGCTAGCTAAGGAAATGAATGATGGTGAAGGTGGAAAGGCTACAAGGCAAGGAGATTACTGCCGTTTAAGAAGGCAGATGATAAAGAAGGAAGGAAAAAACAAGAATTCAAGCTGGAGAAGTATATGGACAGTAAAACTGGCAAATCACAGAATAACATGCACCTCAAGCAGCAGTGGTTGGAAATGGGAAAATAGGAAGCATGTTGTGGTGCAATTATGATGATGAAGACAAGAGTGAGGCTTTGTTGTCTTGTAGGACTGACTAGCACCTTGAGGAAAGAAGAAATTGAACAGGAGGGGAGGGATCATAGATTGTGATTGCAAAAATCCATGCAGAAACCCTGGTGAGAGAGGAGGAACAGCTGTGATCAATGGAAGAGGCAGTCCTGGAGGGAGCCGGAGTGTGTACAAGGGCACCTGCATATGAAGAAAAGTAGGACTGGAAGTAGCAAAAGAGCCAGAGATCCTGAGAACGTGATTCAAAACTTCCAGGCTGCAATAAGGGCTGGAAGCTCCCTGGGGATTGGGGGCTGCAGGGACACCCCACGGGGCTGGCAGCCCCAGACATCGGGCACCTCCCTGGGGATCCGGCTGAGTCTGGGGTGGGACAGTACATCAGTCTGTAGGTGGGAGGGGGTCGGGATCAGACACAGCCTTGTGATGGCAGGGCCGTGGTGATGTGCGTTGCTACAGTCTTGTCAGAGAGCAAAATGGGGAAGGCAAGGTGTGTTATTTGTGGTTGTAAAGATTTTGCTGAATACATGAAGTCAATGAAGTGTCATAAATATCCATAGGTTTTGTTATGCTGTTGTACTTGTTGATGTATACTGCTGTCTTCAAGTATTGTTTAAAAGTGTTAAGAATGTGTAAAAAGTTAGAAATGTGAGATAAAAATATAGTGATAGGATTTGTAGCTTCAGGAGCCATATATTGATCTTGCTCACCTTATTTATCAAAAGCTATTTCCTACCATTGCATATGATGCATAAAGGTTCAGCAATATAGGAAGAGGAAATAGTTTTCTGCTTAGTATTTAGGGTTTTATTTGGTAAATAATAATATTTCACAATTACAATAAAATGTGATGCACATCATCAAGAAATAAGGAGATTATTTGCACTTTAGTATTAAATGTTAGTCTTATTCTGTAATCATCGCATTAATACATGTCCCAAAATGCTCTTGCTCTAGAAAATTTCCCTAAATGTGGTGCTTGGAAGCTGGTCATGAATTTACATGCAGTGTGAAATTGAAGATATTCCTTTGGGCATAATTTTACTCAGAAATTTTCTAACATCATTAATAATGTATAAGTGTAACAGGCTTACATTAAAAGCAAGCCATAGTCTGGGTCACTTCTAATCTGCACAATAATTCCTACATGGCAATTAGTATTACAATAAGTATGTAAAAATTGGGGGGGGAGGGAAAGAATATACATGTACTGAAATTTTGGAGGCTAGATAACCTTTTGACTGATGACATGACCGAGTTCAATTCAAGTTGCTAACTCTGGCATGGTGTTAAAAATTGGGTTTCTGTACTAAAGCTCACATTATTGCTCTAAGAGGAGAAGAAGGGGTAATGGATATTAGATAGTGGAAAACTGTAAGAAAAAAGTCTTACTTTAGACAAAGCTGGTTTAGGTAATTGTGATTGCTCACCATTGCAGATGTGACTGTCTCTCTGGGTCACTTTGGGCAACTTCTACTGTGTATGAACAGACTCTGTAAGCAGGACATGCATCTGAAGAGATTGCAAAACAATTGTCGGTTAGCAAGCATAAAAGACAGGATTTAATATCCTCCTAGACTACCATTGGTATGCATCCTGTCCCAAACAGGACACCTGAAGAGTCTTTGCTGGCCAGGCAGCTGTGAATGAGGTGGAGGAGGACCACCCTTCTCTGTTCCTTGAAACGGGTCTTCATTGCTGCTGGGTTGCTGTCTGCCACCTGCTTGCTTTTCCTTTTCAGGATTTGATGCTTTTCCATGTTGGTGTTTCTCCTCTTGAACCCTTAAGCTGCTAACAAACCCAGCATCATCAATCCTACCTTCATTTGCGGTTTTACCTTTCTGATCTTGCATGGCCATGCCCTGTGTGTTCTCCGAGGTCTTTCTTGTAGCTTGGCCGTTTCTTTAGAAGTAAGCCTGAGGTGAGGTGACACTGCTGTGCTGTGTCAGAGCTAGACTTTGAGCCACAGCAAACTGGACCACCCAGAGGCATTTCACACAGCAGAAGCATTAAATGCTGATGTCACATTATCAGACCTCAAACGAGGAACTTAATTAAGATGAATTATTGTTGAAATTTTAAGTGTCACGGTTGGTGATTTGGGAGCCTCATACAGCTTTTTTTTTTTTTTTTTAATAATTTGCAAAAATTTATTTTAATGCTGAACATTTGCTTTATGGCAGTTCTTCTGTTATAACTATTTCAGGTGTTAATAATATGTTATGAGAAATGCAGTTTAAATAGGCAGCAAACACCACTCCTGGCCTTAAATACCCATTTCACATCTCTGGCAAACCTTTCAGAAGATTTTCTGAATACACAGCCTGCAATTGTTCTTTCTTCTGTTCTAGGTAATGGGCCCTGTCATGACCGAAGTTGTGTTTACAACGAGAGCAACATAGTAGATGGAGTTTACTGCCTCCCAATAGCACATTGGATTGAAATCTCTGGACATACTGATGAGATGAAACATACAACTGACTTCTATTTTAATATTGCAGGACATCAGGCTATCCATTACTCCAGGTAAAAGAAAAGTGCAGAGCTTGGTTGGTGTCAAGTATTCAAACAGAAAATCTGTACTGACGTAGTGTCAAAAAACTTTGAAGTGGTCAATGGTAATATGCACGTAACAACAGAGTTTAACAAAGATTCAGCACCTCTTTGCGATTAAATGTCACTTTTGACAATAAAAAGGAGAGATTCTGAGTTCAAGGATACCTTCAGCCTGTGCAGGTGTGTTAAGTTGCATCACATCTGAAAATGAGTAGTAGTAATTTATGGATAAATTTATGAGGAACCGACATTTTCAAATACTTGTCCACATACACATGTAAATATGCACGCATGCATATACATATGCATGTATGTGTTTGGTTTGGGATTATTTTGCTGAATAACATCTCCTGGGAGACAAAAAGAATATATTCCAACACCAGAACTTCAGGGCATCACATTATTGCTCATGTGAAGCAGCAACTGCCACTAGTGACAACTGTTATAGATTACTTTGGTGCATGCATTAAAAAAAAATACTAACACTTTGACAAGTCTCAAAATGTTTGTACGTCCGTGATCACTTGAGTACACTGCCTCACCAGTGAAGCTTCCTGGCCTGAATTAGGAGACAGTAGATCTTAAAGAAAAGAGGGCACTCACCCTTTAGGTCTGCAAATAAATCACAGGCTATATTTAGAGCAGCAGCTGCAGAACTGGTTAACAAAGCAGCACTGAGGAATTTGGGACCATTTGTAACTTTTTCCCCATCTTCAGTCATGGATGTGGCAGCAAGCAAGGTTGTTGATTGATAACGGTTGCATGAATGCTGGCATCTGTGCTGTGCCACATGCAGCTGGTGTTGGTTACAGAGCAGTTAGTGATCCCAAAGGGATATGTAGTTTTTTAAGAAATCAAACCACCTCGTACTTTCACTAGGTCTTAGCACTGCTTTGTGTGAATTTCTGCAGATTACAGTTTTAGCTACACCAGCCTCACTGTCTTGTCTCCTCTTTCTACTCTTTTGACTCCACCCTCCCATAGGTTGGGAAGCGGAATTGTTTTCGGAGTTGCAGTGTATGAAGGAAAAATTTCCCTCTCTTGGTATCTTTTTGGAATAGTACAGATTTGTAAACACTGTTAGGCATGTGTAAGTATTCGTGTGGCTCAGTACCTTTTCCCTGAGACCCCTTCAAGCTATATAATATGCGTGACAGACTATACTGTTATCTGTATCTTAAGCATCTGTTTCCAACAGCCTATCAGAGAAAAGATCTTGTTTATTCCAAAGCACAGACTTGTCAATCCCAAATAATCTTTGCTTGGCAGAGGAAGTTTGTGAGAAAGAAAAGCTGTCAGAAAGCGAGTAAGTACCAAAGGCTAACTTATCTTCCTTTCCAGAGGCAACAGTGATCCATTTAATACTGCCTTATCTGCATGACTGTATGTTTCCAAGATTAGGTAAAAAGCTGCAGATTCCACTAAAGAATATTTTAAGAAAATTTTCTGAGTTGTGTAGTCTTTTCCAGATAAGGATCTGCTCCTACGTTCTCCTTTCACATACACATATCTTCATTGCAAGGCAACCTTATATGTACATCTTCAGTAATTCTTATCTCATTTCTTTGAGCTATATTAAGTAAGCATACCCCATAACAGTCCTGTTGCATAATTATTTTTAATACTTTGAAGATATGCAGCCTTAAATGACTTTAATTATTAACAGTTGGGGGCAGATTCACCATTCTGCTGGTTATAACAAAGCAGCCCCAAAATACTGGCTAATTAAGATTTTCTTTTGGCAGAGCAGCTGAAGTGAGCTGATGAAAATGCCTGTATTTTGTAATGGACTTGTTGATTCAGAAGAGTACTATGGAGATTAATATCACCAAAAAGAAAAAAAAAACCACACACACACACACAAATAACTCTCTCAAAATAGAAGCAAAGAGCTAGTCCCTCTGCCTGTATAGTTAGAGCTCAGTGTATGATCGGGTTGTAGTTATCCAGCTAAGGTTACGTTTTCCACGCTGTAACAGAGGCAGCAGTACTACAGGGAGCTTTATGAGCACAAATTCTGAGTCCTGTCACCAGCTGTAGGATCTTTACAGAACGGTGATGGCTTGAAAGAAGTGATTTATCAATGAAAACTTATGACATGAGCCCCTTTTTGACATTGCTCCACTTAGTAGGATTGCTATGCACGAATTAGCTGGAAAGGAAAGCTTATCTCTGACAAAATGGCCTCCTGTATGAGCCCTGGGACCGGTTTTACTTGTCATCTGTCTAATCACAACAATTAGAAAGAGTTGATCTGAGCTTCACTACCACCTTGCTGCTTCATGAAACATACGTTTCAACTTTTAAATGAGCTGCAGCAGGATGAGAAGAACCTGCTTCCTGCTGTGGCCAAAAATAATTCTGAATAACTCCGAGGCTGATGGCAATGCTCTGAGCAATCAAGTTTTTCTTATTAGGTATAGATGAATTTTCTTGTAAATCAGTGAATTTATATTTAAACATATTTAGAGAACTCACTTTGTGTTGGTCATTCAGGTTGGAGAGGATATGATGTATTTTTTAAGCATAGCAGGATTTGAATTAATTATTTTAACATGTGAAATGGAGCTTGCCCACAGCTACAGAGTCATGACTGATACCTCCGTGGCATTAGTGTTCACTTGTTTTGGACATGTAATGACACATCTCATCGAAATCTGATTCAGGAAAAAATAACAGTCCCTTTCTCTTTTGTGTTAGATATTACTGCAGTAAGAAGCCTTCAAATTGCAGGAGAGTTCACTTAGGACACAGTAATTTTCCAAAGAAAATTAGAGTTATTGTAATGTTTGCTGGGGCAAGATGACTTCAGAAAATTTGTAAATCTAGGGCATGTTAGCTCTGTTTCAGTTTCATCTGTGAAAGGTGGAACTTCCTAATTCATAGGTATTATACCTTATTATTTATATAAAAACCTCTGCAATTCTCAGAAGAAAGGCATTGCATAAGAGCAATAGAAGGAGTGACACCTGAAATTACAAAATCCTTAAGTAATATGTTGGAGTCAATGATGCCTGATGGCAGAATTAGGTGCTATGAGAATGAATATCACTGAGAGGAAAAGCCATCTAGTTCGTTTTCTGTTTTCAGACTGATTTTAGTTTACCGAATCCACCCCTGGTAAGTAGTGAGTTCCCATAGTTTTTGCCAACTGATTTGAAAATGATGTATGACTAGCACCTCTCCATTTTAGGACATACACTTGAATGCTATCTATGGTGTCTAATTTTTAATGATATGTGCTCAAATTTACTGTCTTCATAACTGTACTTTTATTCATTGTGTGTACATTTTGTGGGTCATATCTCCTAAATGTGATGAAGAAAAATATTTTTTACATGTCTTGCATGTAAAAGGCAGCTAAACTGGATTCTGTAAGTGAATTCCTCAGACAACAATGATAGCTCATCTCTAACTTAAGTACTGTTATGGCTGCTAAACATTTTAGGGGAAAATACACAATAAGCTTTAAATGTAAAAGAATGTAATGGAGGAGTCACTACATGAGAGTAGCCGTGGGCCCTGACATCAATTTTTTGAGGTACAGTTTTTATACCAGCTTTTTTTGCACTTAAGTATTAAGGCCGTTAAGTATCAATATTAATAATGTTTATGGAGCAGGTGGAATGTTCCTGTAACTGGATATAATCCAAGAAATTGTGAAGTTGACGAATGTGTTGCTATCATTAGTGTTGATGTCCCTATTTTTTTCTGTAAGACAAAATAAAGCAAAAGATAAAAAGAGAATAAACCCTTGTGCTTAGAAATACTATTTTTGTTTGTTTGTTTCCTGATGGTTGGAAATTAAACTTTATTTATGATGTACTCTTTACAAATGCTTTGTAGCTTGTTGGTAAAACAGTTTCCTTTAACACTGCCATAGTAATGTGGGTTGTAACCTAAGTTAAGTGTTAAGTTGGGAAGATCAGGTGAGTCAAATAGTATGTGCTCCTGATTTGTACTAAAATCTTAATGTAGATAGTTGAGTGGATGAGGAATGTCGCAGGGCAAAATCCAGATGCTTCTTGAGGCACTAAAGCAGCATTTTGCTGATGAGCACTGTATCCTTTTGTTTGTAGTAATTCTCCTGTGAACAAAATGACCACTTACTTCATTGACATGCATCTTTAATTGGGGTGGAAAACAAGAAGCTGGTTGAGTATTTTCGCATGAGATTCACCAGAGAAGGAAAATAATGTAACTTTTGTTAATTTATGTGTGTCATATGAGGTGCAGTTTTTGCTATTTGAATGTTAGAACTCTGCTGGGATTGATGAATGTAAATATATACTTATATACACTTATATAAGATATCTGTGGTAGGACTCATCCTGAGATTATGACGACTGAATTTGTATGTCTGTATACAGCAATTCAACTCACTGGTGACTAGGTGTCTACTTTAGAGTGAATTGAAGAATTGAATTAGTCTCCAAAGTTCACTGATGATGCTGATGAGATCTCTGTTGATTTATAATGAGACATTAAATGTCCTGTCTGGTTGCTTGAATGTTGATGTCTAGTGTCATTTGAGATGCTCTAGAGATTCCTGTCTGGCCTCCAACTGCTTCACTACAGGAACATGGTTTCTTATAACTCGTTGGCCATATCTGTGAGCCCCTTCCAGATGTTCCAGATGCTATAGGACATCTCAGGTGTCTGTGGGAAGCAGTACTTAGGCAATGCATTGAGTATTGCTGTGCCTGAAGACACCTGTTTATAGATAAGCAGGGCTAGGTGACTTCATCTTCATCTTGTATCCCATCCCTAGCCTGCATTAATGAATAACGTGCATCTCAGTTCAAATATGAAGTTAGAATTACCTTTGAATTCTAACCACTAGAAAAAATGCAAGAGTGCTTTTATTTATTTTTACTTTTTAACTTCCCTTCTGACTTACTAGTTCTAATTAATTTACGAAATGAGATACTCTTCTAAGTGTAATTCTAAAGTAATTTTTTTATTACTGA